TCTGCACCCGGTGGCGGGGGGGGGGTTGCTCCCTGGGTCCCGCCCCATCCCCATCCCCATCCCCATCCCCATCCCCGGCTCACCCCGCGAGCGGTTCCAGACAAGCAGACGCAGCTCACCCAGGGCCTGGCTCAGGTTCTGCACCCGGCCCTGCAGCTGGGCGTTCTCGCTCTGCAGCTCCCGGATGGCCTCCTGCAGCTCGAAGGGGCACCCCCCGCCCCCCAGCAGGGCCAGCAGCACCAGGGCCCCCCACAGCCCCATCCTGCCCGCCCACGGCCCCGTCCCGACTGAGCACCGGAGCCAGCCCCGCGTCCCATCGATCCCCGGCCTGCGCGCCAGCCCCGATCAATGCGCCCCCCCGGGGCTTGTTAATTACCAGCCCGCAGAACCCCGCTCAGTGAAGGGTGCTCCTCACTCCCGACCTGCAGCCCCCTGCTGCCTGGCCCTGGGCCCCCCACAGCTCTGCCGGTGCCCCTCACTCCTGACCTGCAGCCCCTGCTAGCCCAACCCTTCCCCCCCCCAAGCCCTGCTGGTGCCCCTCACTCCAGACCCGCAGCCCCTCAGTGACGGCTAATGAGCCACAAGAAAAAAGTCACAGGGAAATGGGGAAAAATGTCACATGGTGCTACCGTCATGTACAGCACCGTGCACTAGGGGGCCATGACTGAGCGCTCCCATAATACACTGAATGAACAATGAACAGCGCCTAGCTCCCAGGGCTACCGTAATACACCTAATAGAGAGATAGATTGGGAGCCAAAATCTCACCACCACCCCCCAGTTGGGGGGAACGTTGCCGGGGACGGGCAGGTGCATGGTCCCTGGGCTGCAGGGGCGCTATGGGGAGCCCTGGGGCGGCCCGCGTCCGGGGCGAGGAAAGATTTACACGCACCCCGCTTTCATGGGGGGTGGGGAAAGGGGGGCTAGTGACGGAAAGAGCCGAGCGGAGCCGAACGAGCCCGAGCGGAGCCGAACGCCCCGAGGGGCGGTGCCGGAGATTCCCGAGCGGAGCGGAACGCGCCCGAGGGGCCGTGCCGGAGATTCCCGAGCGGAGCCGAAGCCCCGAGGGCGGTCCGGATATTCCCGAGCGGAGCCTAACGCCCCGAGGGGCGGTGCCGGAGATTCCCGAGCGGAGCCGAACGCTCCCGAGGGGCCGTGCCGGAGATTCCCGAGCGGAGCCGAACGCGCCCGAGGGGCCGTGCCGGAGATTCCCGAGCGAAGCCGAACGCTCCCGAGGGGCCGTGCCGGAGTTTCCCGAGCGGAGCCGAACGCGCCCGAGGGGCGGTGCCGGAGATTCCCGAGCGGAGCCGAACGCGGGTGCCGGAGATTCCCGAGCGGAGCCGAAGCCCCGAGGGGCGGTGCCGGATATTCCCGAGCGGAGCCGAACGCGCCCGAGGGGCCGTGCCGGAGATTCCCGAGCGGAGCCGAACGCGGGTGCCGGAGATTCCCGAGCGGAGCCGAACGCTCCCGAGGGGCCGTGCCGGAGATTCCCGAGCGGAGCCGAACGCGCCCGAGGGGCCGTGCCGGAGATTCCCGAGCGGGGCGCGCGTACCGGATGTGACGTTCCTGCCCCGGCCGCCAGGCTCCTCCCTTTCCGTTTCCGGCAGCGGCCGCGAGAGCAGGTACGGCCCGGAGCTCCGGGCCCGGCCCCACGTGGGACCCCCCGAAACCCCCCCCCGGGACCCGCCCCCCCCGGCCTCGCAGCCCCGCGCCCCCCGCGCCCCCCCCCCCCCGGTCGCGACCCCCGCGCGCCGCTAACGCCCCTGTCCCCGCAGGGCGATGTCGGCCCATCTGCAGTGGATGATCGTTCGCAACAGCTCCAGCTTCCTGCTCAAGCGGAACAAGCAAACCTACAGCACCGTGAGTCCCCCCCGCCCCGCGGGGACCCAGGCGTCCGGGCTCCCCCCGCCCCGCCCCGCCCCGCGGGGACCCAGGCGTCCGGGCTCCCCCCCGCCCCGCCCCGCGGGGACCCAGGCGTCCGGGCTCCCCCCCGCCCCGCCCCGCCCCGCGGGGACCCAGGCGTCCGGGCTCCCCCTCGCCCCGCCCCGCCCCGCGGGGACCCAGGCGTCCGGGCTCCCCCTCGCCCCGCCCCGCCCCGCGGGGACCCAGGCGTCCGGGCTCGCCCCGCCCCGCGGGGACCCAGGCGTCCGGGCTCCCCCCGCCCCGCCCCGCCCCGCGGGGACCCAGGCGTCCGGGCTCGCCCCGCCCCGCGGGGACCCAGGCGTCCGGGCTCCCCCCCGCCCCGCGGGGTCCCAGGCGTCCGGGCTCCCCCCCCCCCCCCCCCCGGGCCCGGCTCCGCTCCCCTCCCCCCCCCGCCCCCGGGGCCCGCGTCGCTCCCCCTCCCCCCCCCCCCCCGGGCCCGGCGTCCGCTCCCCCGCCCCGCCCCGCGGGGTCCCGGCGTCCGGGCCCCCTCGCCCGCCCCGCCCCGCGGGGTCCCGGCGTCCGGGCTCCCCCTCGCCCCGCCCCCCCCCGGGTCCCAGGCTCCGCCCCCCTGCCCCCCCCGGTCCCGCTCCGGCCCCCCTCCCCCCCCCGGGGTCCCAGCGTCCGGGCTCCCCTCGCCTCGCCCCCGGGGTCCCGCTCCGGCTCCCCTCGCCCCCCGCGGGGTCCCAGGCTCCGGCCCCCTCCCCCCCCCCCCCCCCGCGGGTCCCAGGCTCGGCCCCCTCGCCCCCCCCCCCGCCCCCGGGGTCCCGGCGTCCGGGCCCCCCTCCCCCCCCCCCCCCGGGGCCCACTCCCCCCCTCCCCCGCCCCGCCCCGCGGGGACCCAGGCGTCCGGGCTCCGCCCCCGCCCCGCGGGGTCCCAGGCGTCCGGGCCCCGCCCCGCACACGCACCCCCAGACACAGAGTGACCAGAATCGGGGCCCCGGGGCGCTGCCCGGACCCAGGACAAGGCTCTGCCCGGGGCGCCGCGGGGGGGGAGCCGGGCCCGGGCCCCGCTAACCGGGTGGTTCTCTCCGAAGGAGCCGAACAACCTGAAGGCTAGAAACTCCTTCCGCTACAACGGGCTGATCCATCGCAAGACAGTGGGCGTGGAGCCCGCGGCGGACGGGAAGGGGATCGTGGTGGTGCTGAAGAAGCGGGCAGGTGGGGAGATGCAGACGGGCTGGTTTCCTTCCCCCCCAGCGAAGGATTCCGGGAGCCAGACTCCCGACACACGGGGATGTGAAATAATGGTTTCTTCTGGGGCGGGCAGATCTGGATTGAGACCCACCTGCCCAGTTCACTGCTTGGGCCCCCTAGATGGGAAGGGCCCCATACTCCATTCCCCACCCCCTTGAGCCCTCCAGTCCCCCTGCCCTGGGGCTGGTTCAGAGCTGGGGCCCCCTAGACGGGAAAGGCTCCATTCCCTGCCCCGCTGAGCCAGCCAGTCCCCTGCCCCGTAGACGGGAGAGACCAGCTCCTTTCCTGTGATCCCTGCCCGTGGCCTTTCCTGGCCCCTGTCCTGTACCCTGGCTCTGACCCGTGGCCCCTTCCCCCAGGCCAGCGCAAGCCAGCCACGTCCTATGAGAAGACGACCATTAACAAGAACGCCCGGGCTACGCTCAGCAGCCTGCGCCACATCATCCGCAAGAACAACTACCGCAAGGATCTGCGCATGGTGAGCGCTGGGCTCGGGGGGCAGCCGAGCCTCCCCTGCCGTGGGTCTGGTGCCCTGCTTCCCCAGAGGGGGCCGTCCTGTGTTCATGAACCCATGGGGGGGAGGAGCGTTGCCCCATTAGCCAGAGTGCCTGTCCCGAGGGGCGGAAAGGGACACAGCTGGCTCCTCGAGGGGGTTTGTATCTGGGGGGGGGGTGCGCCTCCGTTTTAAAGACAGGATGAGCTGGATTTAACCCAGGTGGCTGTGCGGGTCGCTGCGATCTGCGCTCGGCTCACCATGCCTCGTTGGAGACCTCCCCTCCCGTCCTGTGGCGTGGGGGGTGATCATGCTAGAATGGGGGGATTGATTGGCGATCGTCTTGCCACCCCTGATCTGAGCACCCCCATTCCACCACGTGGGTGAGCAGTGATGGGGGGGTGATAGTTGCTCCACTCGCCATGCCTGATCAGTGCCTTCACCCCCTTTAGCTTCAGGGGCGATATCTAGAAGTGGGCTGCAGCCCCACTCTGTCTACCCCTGTTGCAGGGGCAGCGGGGTGGGGAAGCCAGTCCCAGTCGCTGCAGTAGGGCGCCCCCCCCCCCCCCCCCCCCCCCCCGTGCTGTGCCAGGGCCCGCTCCACTGTGCATCAGTCTCACGCGTCCCCCCCCCCCCCCGTCTCCAGGCCGCTCTGCGTCGCACCAGCGCCATCCTGCGGAGCCAGAAGCCAGTGGTGGTGAAGAAGAAGAGAACCCGGGCTACCAAGACAGCGTGAATGGCTAGCATGTCCCAATAAAGGGTTCAAACCTGCCTGCAGCGTGGCACAACCTCTGTGGGGGGGGGAGAACAGGAAAGGGGGTGGGTCCCTGGGGATGCGCAACATCTGTGGAGGGGGTGCCCAATGGCGGTGGTCCAGTGTTCTTCAGACATAGTGTCTAGTAGGTGGGGAAACTGAGGTAGAGAGATGGGGATATGTTTCTGTCAGCATGTGACCTTAAAAAGGGAGAGAACCCACGGGTGGGAGAGGAAGACAAGCTGCCCTTTTGTAAGGGGTCTCACCAGGGTGGGGGGCTGCAGGTCGGGAGTAAGGGGCACCGGCAGAGCTGGGGGTGGCATTCCCCTGGCGGGGGGGGGGGGGGTTTGGCCGGCTCGGATGCTGCCATCTGTCCCCTGGGTGCCCAGCCCTGGCTGATTAGGCCAAGCTGCTTAAGGCCATGTTTACACTGTGCTTTCGGCGCCAGGCTCAGAGCTCATCCCCGCTAACGGGATTGGAAGCGGTGTGGGCATGGGGGGGACCCCATTACATAACCCCTGTCTCGCCAGCAGACCGGGAACAAATGGATTATCCCTGTAATGCCTGTCAGGGCAGCAGGGACCGGCCAGTGGGGCCACGTATGCCACGGGTTAGAGCAGGGGGGGCTGGGAGTTAGGACTCCTGGGTTCTCTCCCCGGTTCTGGGAGGAGAGTGGGGACGGGTCTAGTGGTTACAGGAGGTGGGGGTCAGGGACGAATGGCTCCTAGTTTGTCCGCTCCCCCTGCCCCCTCTAGTGGCGGCACTTGGTACTTCACTGCTCAGGGCCCGCCCTTCTGGCAGGGCTCGGTATCGCCCCCAGTGGCCAGGCCGGGTGGCTGCTGCCTTCCAACTGTAGCAGGGGCTGGTGGTGCCCAAGGCCCTGCAGGTGGCTGGTTCGGTTCCTCCCCGGCCCGCTCCCTCCCCCCAGAGGCCAGGCGAATGGTTTACACACAACGCTCTTTATTGAAAACCAGACACCAGTACAGCAATGTAAGACAAATGCCCTTTGTCTCCCTTCCTTCCACGCCCCCCAGCGCTGGGCGGGGAATCCCGCTGGCTCTGGGGTGGGGAAGAAATGAGACAGAAGCACAAACTGCAGAACACAACATGAATCTGGGATGGGGGGGTGTTTTCCAAACAGGCTTCAGCAGGAGGGAGGGGGGTGAATGATCTGCCCCACAGAGCTGCATTAGAGGCCCACGGGGAGAGGGCATGAATCAGACCAAGGGTGCAGGGAGAGAGAAGGAGCAAATGGAGGAGGGCAGAGCGCTTTTCAGGGCCCTAGACGGAGGGCATTGGTTTGTGCCAGTTGACGAGGGTTTTTTGCTGCGGAGCTGTGGCTGGAGTGTTAGACGAAGAGACAGGATGTCTGGGTTCAACCCTTGGCTCTCATGCTGTGTCTGGGCAGCGCCCGGCACAACGGGGCCCCAATCTCAGTGACTCTGTCTGGGCAGCGCCCGGCACAACGGGGCCCCAATCTTGGTGACTCTGTGTCTGGGCAGCACCTTCTTTACGTGATCCTTCTCTTCCATCAGCTATTTCTCTCCTCTCATTTCCCATTCTCTGCCCTCTGTTCACTGCTGCTCTGCCTTCTTTTTTTTCTCTGTTCTTTCTCATTCCCCCCTTCCTCCCTGTTACATCCCCCACTTTCCTTCCTCCTTCATTGCTCCATTTTTCTTTCTCTCCTTCCTCCTATCCTTCCTTTTCCATCATCCGCTCTTTCATCTCCTCCACTTTTCCCCTGCTCCTTTCTACCCCGGGGGTCTCGGTGGGGTTCCCCCCTCCCTCGGCCCCCAATGACAGCCTGTTTAGAAGTGCCCAGAGCGGGCTGCTGGCGGAGGAGGGGAAAGGATCCAGCTACCCAGGGAAAGGGGTCGGGCGCCTCGCACACGTGTCGTTTCATTTGTCCGTTCCATCATTTTCTCATTCACTCGTCCTCTCTCACTCCGCCCCTGCTCAGCCCGCACTCTCCCTCCTGTTTGCCGTTCCTGCCGTTCCCCTCCCGGCCTGGGACCTTGGGCTTCCTATTTCTTGGGTTCGTATTGGATCAGCTTCATGATGGCTTCGTTCTGCATCACCCCGGAGATGAACTCCCCCTCGGCGATTTTGTCTGCGGGGGGAGCGGGGGAGAGAAGAAAACAGAAGGGCAGGGGGGAGGGAATGGAAGGAGAGTGGAGAGGAGGGGTTAATGAACTGCAATCCTTCCCCTCTAGGGGGTTCCAGCCCCCAGGGCAGGGCCTGGCTGGCTCAGGGGGGCAGGGAATGGGGCCCGGGGCCTTTCCCCTCTAGGGGGTGACGGCTTCTATCTGACCCCAGGGCAGGGACTGGCTGGCTCGGGAAGGCAGGGAATGGGGCCCGGGGCCTGTCCCCTCTAGGGCTGGGTTTCATCATAGGTTAAAAGGGCTTCAAGATGTGCCGTGGGGGGGGGGGGGTGCATGTGTGGCACCATGTAATATCAATATGGGGCATTGGACCATCTGAGCAGTGCAGCTCGGAGCCGGCCAAGGTGGGGCTGGGCTGTGGGCTGGGAGGATGGAGAGCGGAGAAGGGGGGTCTGGCAGATCCCTTACCGTTTTCCCCCTTTTTGAAAAAGTCCCAGAGCTTGTTGGCTCGTTTCTGGGGGGTGTTTTCATCCTCAGCGAGCATTTTCTGCTCTTCAAGGGGAATCATCTTAAATATTGCCTGTGGGCAGACACACAACGTTTGACATCTAGCCGTGCCCCACCCCAGAGCTGGCTGCATCTCCATGCCGGGGAAGGGGCCCCGTATACCTAGCCTCCGTGCCCCACCCCAGTGCTGACTGCATCTCCAATCTGGGTGAGCAGCCCCATATACCCAGCCCCCTCACCCCCCCCCCCAAGCTGGCTGCATCTCATTGAATTTTCCCAACCCAGTGGGTGTATGAAGCTGCTGTTTTATTGCTACACTCCAACTTGAGGGAGGGGAGAGGGGGGGTTCAGCTCTGCCTCCCTCTCCAAATAAATACAATGGGGCAGAGAACAGTAAACCATGTGGGCCTGGCTCCTAGCGCCCCTCCCCAGCTCTAACCACTAGACTGCACTGCCCTCCTAGAGCAAGTATAGAACCCAGGCGTCCTGACTCCCAACCCCCCTCCTCTAATCGTTAGACCCACCTCCTCTACCAGAGCTGGGGATAGAACCCAGGAGTCCTGGCTTCCACCCTCATAGCTATTAAGGTCCCCCCTCCATACCCTGTGTGACCCCTGTCTCAGCTGTGTCCATATGATGCTCTAAAGCTCTCGTTTCCAGCCCCAGCTGATTGTCGGGGAGGAGGCATTATTAAGATTTTCCCCCAGTCTGGGCTCGGGAGATTAATCTGAGCCAGGAGCTGAATAGAATCCGAGCCTTGGGCAATATTAAAAATGATTAAAGGGTCCCAGCGATTGACCAGAGGGAAGCTTAACCCAGCCTCTGGGAAACGCCATGCTTGGGAAAGGGACAGCGGGGGGGACAGGAACTGTCTGCCAGGGAAAGAATGGGGTTAACCCACTGGGAGGGTAAGGTGGGTGGGTGGAGGGATAGGGGTAGAGATGGATGGGTTGGTGGGTGGATGGACAGGGATAGGTGTAGGGGGGGTTGGTGAGTGGATGGAGGGATGGTGGATGGAGGGAGGGAGGAATAGGTGTGGGGGGTTGGTGAGTGGATGGAGGGGTGGTGGATGGAGGGAGGGAGGGATAGGTGTAGGGGTGGGTGGAGAGGTCGGTGGGTGGGTGGAGGGATAGGTGTAGGGGTGGGTGGAGAGGTCGGTGGGTGGGTGGAGGGATTGGTGTAGGGTTGGATGGGGGGGTTGGTGGGTGGATGGAGGGATAGCTGTACAGGTGGGTGGATGGAGTGATAGGTGGAGGAGTGGGTGGATGGGTTGGTGGGTGGATGGACAGATGAATAGGTGTAGGGGTGGATGGATGGAGGGATAGGTGTAGAGATGGATGGGTTGGCGGGTGGATGGACAGAGGGATAGGTGTAGGGGTGGATGTGGGGGTTGGTGAGTGGATGGAGGAGTCGGTGGAGGGGTGGATGGAGAGATAGGTGGAGGGATAGATGTAGGGGTGGGTGGAGAGGTCTGTGGGTGGGTGGAGGGATAGGTGTAGAGATGGATGGGTTGGCGGGTGGATGGACAGAGGGATAGGTGTAGGGGTTGGTGGGTGGATGGAGGGATAGGTGGAGGGGTGGATGGGTGGATGCAGACACATTCTCTTCACTGCCTGCCATGAGTCCCAAAGACCCCTGCATTCCAATCAGCCAAGTCCCCTCATCTGCTCTGTGGAGGCAGCTGTTTCCCAGAGGAGGTTTTTGATCCATTTTCAAGGTCCCTCGTCCTGCATCCCCACCCATGCCTGGTGAGACTCATCCTCCCACCAGGGATCCTCCCCTGGCCTCTAGCCTGGTCCTCAGAAACACCTGCCCTCTAGCCAAGAACTTCCACCCCCAAGGCCCCCAATGTCTTGCCTCCCTTTCACCTTCTCAGCAAAATCAAGTGGCAAGTAGTTCCACCGGCCACCAACATATTTTCCCCTCCCCCTGCTATTAACAAGCAGGTGACTCTTTACCTTACCCCCTGATCCCACTCTAGGTTCATGCCCATTGCACCTAAGGGCTAATCCCCGATTTACAAGGGATCAGAGAGCCCGGCTGGTGAGAGGGCGGGGTGAGGGTGCATACGTGCTAGGAGAAGCGTTTGCTGATCAGTAGCTGGGTAATTTGGGATCAGACAGGAGGGGCAGAGGTTTGGACACCAGCTTTTGTTCTGACTACCCGAGACTTTGCTGGTGGGCCGCTGGTCTTCACAGGAGCAGAACCAAGGTGGATAAAACCCAATGATTTTTTGGTCTTTATTTGGAAAAAAAAAACCCTTTTTTAATTGATTTTTTTAAATTTAAACCAGATTTTTTTTTTAAATTCTGCTATTTAAATGATTACATTTTCCTTTTAAAAACTAAATCTGTTCTGAAGGAAATCTGAATTTAATACAAACCCCGCTAAGGCCTGAACTTATTAGCATCTCTTAAACCCTACAAATATGTGGAATCCAGGAGCCTGTATCAAAAACGCTACATTAAAGGCTGTTTTTCTAGACAAAGCAAGAATCCAGGGGGAAACATGTAACTTTTGAGGCAAGCTTTATAAATATGGCACGACAGTAGGAACCCAGCAAGATGTGAGTCACCGGTTTCTCCCCTACTAAAAAAGTACAATGAATAAGAACTTGACGATATTAAGCTACCTAGTTGCTTAAATAAATGTACAGCGGACCCTGCTAGGAAGCAAAAAGATGCACAAAATCGAGGGTAAAGGCACCCGGGAGTTGTAAATCACTGTGTTTGAATGGTTCTGCCTGAAGAATAAATGGAAAAGTGGATTAAAGTCAGTGATTGATATGGAGGTGTTAGAGTGGGTGATTTAAATCGCCTTGATTTAAAGCCAGGCCCCCCCCACTATGAAGGACTCAGAGGTTGTGATGGGCCACGTTTTGTCTGCTGTTTTCTCCCCATCAAAAAATGGATTTTTTCAGAGCCCGGAAAGATTCCCGGAGAGGGGGGCAGAAAAAAGACCGAAAGAGATTTTTTTCACATGGAAGTCGTCTTTCGATTTTGAAGGTGACCTTTGACACTCACCCCCATCCCCACCCCAAAAGCGGCTGAGCGAAACCCCTCCGGAAACGGCCAAATCGAAAACCCACAGGGGGAAAAACTTGGGTTCGGGGGGAATGGCGACAAATTTTCAGGGGCTCAGCTCCAGGGTTGCTTCCTAGTTCCTCAGGAGCGGGGACAGATTCCTACCGAGTCCTTTTAAACCCATCCGGGTCTCGTCACCTCCCCAGAAACATCCTTTTATTTAAAATAAATAAAAAATCTTAGCCATCTTTTAGCCTCTCTGAAATCCAGTAACGGGTAGTTCCCCAGGCCCTCCGTAGCCATCAGGCCAAGGTAACAGCTGCCCATCCCGCCCTGATCCAGTCCCAAGAGAGATCAAACCGGAGGTGCCACACAGATAGACTTCAGATGCAAGACACTAGCCCTGAGCACAGGAAAGGGAAGTTTTGGCCACTAGGAGGCAGGCAACCCATAGATTGCAATACAGGCTCTATCCCCGGCTCTGGGAGGGGAGTGGGGTCTAGTGGTTAGAGCAGGGGCGCTGGAAGCCAGGACTCCTGGGTTCTCTCCCCAGAGAGGAATGAATTATTTACTCAGCCTCTTCCACCCTCGTGCCCCTCAGCATGCCATGAACGCCACCGTCACCGAGTATTTGGCCCCCTCTGGGAGTTGCCTGTCTTGTTTTTAGAGCGACCTCTCTCATTGCAAAGCCACTGCCCCTCCCCTTGCCCCCCCCTCGCCTTCCTCCTCCTTCTCCTTCTCCTCCTCCTCTTTGGGGTGGCAAATCCAGCTTATGGTCTGTTACATTCTGCCATGGGGGAGGCGAGCACCCCCGATACCCTCCGTGACCCCGGAGCAGCAGCTTTGCAAGGGGCCGCTGAGGCCACCCTGATAAAATTAACGGGGGGGGGGGCGCTGCTTTCGGCCAAGCCGCTTTCAGCCTCCATTTGGGCGGGCGCCTGGCAACCAAGAGGCTCAGCCCAGGGAAATTAGCGAAACAGGATTTTGCGTGGGGGCGGGGGGGGGGAATCCCATCAGGGGTGGCTAATGCCATTTACGAACTACGCAAACCTTGATCGGGGCTAATCCACTGTCATGCTGCCTGGCGTCATCCTGCCACCTGCCCGGAGGTCAGGCAGCCCTTGGGCCCCTCCCAGCTCTGCCAAACAGGCTGGCTGCGGGCGTGTTTCGGGGGGCCTCTCGGGAGTGGGGGGATGACAGCGGGCTGGATGGGCCCTGGGAGAGGCAGGGAGGATACCAGGGTAGATGGGCCTGTTGTGACGCTGTGTCTGTCTGGCCTCCGTTCACAGGCGCATCAGACATGGGCGGTCGATGGGTTCAGTGGGGGAGCCCAGCCTCGGGCACCGCACTTGAAGGGGGGGGGGGGCAGGGGCCTGAGGACAGGCTGTGACGCTGGCTGAGGGAGCCGGTCGCCCCGGCAGGCAGAACGAGCAGGAATCGGTTTCATTTGCGAGGAGGGGGAAATCACGGTCAGAGCCGGGGAAAACCTTTCTGGCTCGGTGGGCACCAGGAATCTTCTCAGGGTGGCGCGGCAAGCCTGTGCATCTGCCCCTCCTCAGGGCACTGTTGCAGGGAAGCTCACAACAGCCCCTCAGGACACTGCTGTGGGGAAGCTCGCAGCACCCCCTCAGGACACTGCCATGGGGAAACTTGCAGCACACCTTCAGGACACTGCTGTGGAGACGCTTGCAGCACCTCCTCAGGGCACTGCTGTGGGGAAGCTTGCAGCACCCCCTCAGGACACTGCTGTGGAGAAGCTCACAGCACCCCCTCAGGGCACTGCTGCGGGGAAGCTCGTAGCACGCGCTCCTTGCCCCGGACTCACCGTGATGATCTCCAGCACCTCGCTCTTGCTGATCTCGCCGTTGCGGTCGACGTCGAAGAGGGAGAAGGCCCACTCCAGCTTGAGGTTGGTCTTGCCGGAGGAGGTGAGGTGCAGGGCTATGATGTACTCCCGGAAGTCCAGCGTCCCGTCACCGTTGGTGTCGAAGCTGCGGAAGACGTGGCGCGCGTAGACCTGGGGGTCCGACTTGGGGAAGAAGTTGCCGTAGATCTTCTCGAACTCGGCCTGGCTGATGCGCCCGTCCGGGCACTGCTTCTGGAAGCTCTCGTACCACTTGCACAGCTCGTCCTCCGAGTACTTGGTGTTGAGCTTCAGGTCCTCCAGGATCTCCTTGGACAGAGCCCCGCTTTTACTGTTCCCCATGGCGCCCCGAGCCTCCGCCCCGAGCCTCCGCCCTGATCCCCGTCCCTAGTGCCCCTGAGCCCCGGCCTAGCGCCCCAATCCTCCAGCTAGCGGGCCGATCCTCCGCTCCGAGCCCCAGCCCAGCACCCCGATCCTCCGCACTGATCCTCCGCTCGGATCCCCGGCACTTGCAGGTGGATTCCTTTGCTCCGTCTCCTCTCTCCCAAGCCCTCGTGCTCCCCTGCTTATATAGACTCCCTGGGAAGGGGGGAGGATCAGCAGGGGCGGGGGGCTCTGACACACACCCCCGGACACACACACGCAGCTATTTCAGGAGCGCTGATCACATTTCGGCCAGGGGATGAGACGCTCTTTAGCGCTATTAAAGGGAGATTGGCAGCTCTGAGCCACTTGGCGTGTTGTCGGCCGCTGCCCTTGTGCGCCTACCTCCACACAGGCTTCGCCTCCTCCCACAGCTGTTATCACCCCCCCCGGCCCAGCTACCCCAGCTCCCCTCGATCGACCCCTAAACGAACCCCTCCATCTACCCCCAGCCACCCCCTCGATCGACCCCTAAACGAACCCCTCCATCTACCCCCAGCTCCCCTTGATCGAACCCCTAAACAAACCCCTCCATCTACCCCCAGCCACCCCCTCGATCGACCCCTAAATGAACCCCTCTGTCTACCCCCAGCCACTCCCTCGATCGACCCCTAAACGAACCCCTCCATCTATCCCCAGCCACCCCCCTCAATCAACCCCTAAACGAACCCCTCCATCTATCCCCAGCTCCCCTCGATCAAACCCCTAAACAAACCCCTCCATCAACCCCCAGCCACCCCCTCGATCGACCCCTAAATGAACCCCTCCGTCTACCCCCAGCCACCCCCTCGATGGACCCCTAAACGAACCCCTCCATCTACCCCCAGCCACCCCCTCGATCGACCCCTAAACGAACCCCTCCATCTACCCCCAGCCACCCCCTCGATCGACCCCTAAACGAACCCCTCCATCTATCCCCAGCCACCCCCCTCAATCAACCCCTAAACGAACCCCTCCATCTATCCCCAGCTCCCCTCGATCAAACCCCTAAACAAACCCCTCCATCTATCCCCAGCCACCCACTCGATCATCCCCTAAACGAACCCCTCCATCTACCCCTAGCCACCCCCTCGATCGACCCCTAAACAAACCCCTCCATCTATCCCCAATCACCCCCTCGATCGACCCCTAAACGAACCCCTCCATCTACCCCCAGCTCCCCTCAATCGACCCCTAAACAAACCCCTCCATCTACCCCCAGCCACCCCCTCGATCGACCCCTAAATGAACCCCTCCATCAACCCCCAGCCACCCCCTCGATTGACCCCTAAACGAACCCCTCCATCTACCCCCAGCTCCCCTCGATCAACCCCTAAACAAACCCCTCCATCTATCCCCAGCCACCCCCTCAATCAACCCCTAAACAAACCCCTCCATCAACCCCCAGCCACCCCCTCGATCGACCCCTAAACGAACCCCTCCATCTACCCCCAGCCACCCCCTCGATCGACCCCTAAACGAACCCCTCCATCTACCCCCAGCTCCCTTCGATCGACCCCTAAACGAACCCCTCCATCTACCCCCAGCCACCTCCTCGATCGACCCACCCCTAAACAAACCCCTCTATCCATCTACCCCATCCACCTTATCTATCTACCCCAACACCCCCTCTATCCACCCATCCACCTTATCTAGTTACCCCCAGCCACCTCCCCTATGGACTCCTAAACAAACCCCTCCGTCTGTTCCCCAGCCACCCCTTCTATGTACCCACCCCTATCCAAACCCCTTTATCCACCTCAACACCCCCTCTATCTATCCATCTATCTACCCCAACACCCCCACTATCTATCTATTCCAGCCACCCCTCTATCTACCCATCCCCAAACAAACCCCTCTCTCCACCCCACTCCCCACCGAGAGCCCAGGAATCCCGGCTCCCAGCCCCCCTGCTGAAGGGAGAGGCCCGTGTATGAAGAACTGTAACATCCAGTGAGCTGAGAAAATTGCATAAACCCTGCCTAGTGCAGGGGTGGGCAAAGTTTTTGGCCTGAGGGCCACACGGGGGTTGCAAAACTGTATGGAGGGCCGGGTAGGGAAGGCTGTGCCTCCCCAAACAGCCTGGCCCCTGCCCCCTATCTGCCCCCTCCCACTTCCCGACCTCTGACTGCCCCCCTCAGACCCCCCCACCTATCCACCCCCCCTGCTCTCTGTCCCCTGACGGCCCCTCCCCCTATCCACACCCCCACCCCCTGACAGGCCCCCCGGGACTCCCACGTCTATCCAACCCCCCCTGCTCCCTGTCCCCTGACTGCGCCTCCCCCTATCCACACCCCCACCCCCTGACAGGCCCCCCGGGACTCCCACGTCTATCCAACCCCCCCTGCTCCCTGTCCCCTGACTGCGCCTCCCCCATCCACACCCCCGCCCCCTGACAGGCCCACCGGGACTCCCACGTCTATCCAACCCCCCCTGCTCCCTGTCCCCTGACTGCCCCTCCCCCTATCCACACCCCCGCCCCCTGACAGGCCCACCGGGACTCCCACGTCTATCCAACCCCCCCCTGCTCCCTGTCCCCTGACTGCCCCTCCCCCCTATCCACACCCCCGCCCCCTGACAGGCCCCCCGGGACTCCCGCACCTATCCAACCCCCCTGCTCCCTGTTCCCTGACTGCGCCTCCCCCATCCACACCCCCCGCCCCCTGACAGGCCCCCCGGGACTCCCACATCTATCCACCCTCCCTGCTCCCCATCACCTGACCGCCCTCCCCCTATCCACAGCCCCACCCCCTGACAGGCCCCCCGGGACTCCCGCACCTATCCAACCCCCCTGCTCCCTGTTCCCTGACTGCGCCTCCCCCATCCACACCCCCGCCCCCTGACAGGCCCCCCGGGACTCCCACATCTATCCACCCTCCCTGCTCCCCATCACCTGACCGCCCTCCCCCTATCCACACCCCCACCCCCTGACAGGCCCCCCGGGACTCCCACATCTATCCACCCTCCCTGCTCCCCGTCACCTGACCGCCCTCCCCCTATCCACAGCCCCACCCCCTGACAGGCCCCCCGGGATTCCCACATCTATCCAACCGCCCCCTGCTCCCTGTCCCTGGACTGCCCCCCCGGCCCCCCTTACCATCTGTGGCTTCGGGGCGGGGGGCCGGGGGGGGCCGGGGGCTAGCGTCCCCAACCGGGAGCTCAGGGGCCGGGCAGGACGGTCCCGTGGGCCGGATGTGGCCCGCGGGCCATAGTTTGGCCACCTCTGGCCTAGTGTAAGACGGTTAAAGATTTAGCCTGGGGCTCTCGCTGATCTTTTATTTTCTTTAGTACCTATCTCTGACCTGTTGTGCCTTCCACTTATAACCACAGAAAATCCAGCGTTCAGTCATTAATAACCCTGGTTTCTACTTCCCCTAACGCTGTGTGGTTTGGGTGAAGCGCTTGGGGGAATCTCAGCTCCGGTTACAAAGGCTGGCGCATTGTCCTCTCCACCAGGCTTCTGACCCGGGCAGGATGGTACAGCCCTGGGGTGCAAGGCTGGGAGCTGGGGGGATTTGGCTGGTGCCTTGTTCAGTGTGATTCGTGAGTGGCTCTGGGGGCGTTCACACAATCTAGCTGGGTGTGGGGCACCACATGCGGTTGTGCTGAGTGATCGCAGCGCCTGGAGGGGTTTGCTGTATGTCACGAGCAAAGCATTGTGAAGGCAGCCCAGGCTGGAGAGTTAAGGGAGCACAGCGGTACCCCAGTTCCAGGGTGTACCCCGTGGATCCTGTCACACCCTCTCAGGAGTCCTGGCTTTGATTCCCACTAAAATTTGCTCTTTTAAAACACAAGAGGGTTTTTGTAACTTTAGATAGATAAAGAGATGCTGGGTGTGTATGAAGATAGATAGATAGATAGATAGATAGATAGATAGATAGATAGATGGGGTGGATGGGGATAGATAGATAGATAGATAGATAGATAGATAGATAGATAGATAGATGGGGTGGATGGGGATAGATAGATAGATAGATAGATAGATAGATAGATAGATAGATAGATAGATGGAGTGGATGGAGTGGATGGGGATAGATAGATAGGGTGGATAGATAAGGTGGATGGGTGGATAGAGGGGTTTGTATAGGGGTGAGTAGAGAGATGGGTCCAGACTCCCAGTCCCCCCACCCATGCTCTAAGCACTAGACCCCACTCCCCTCCCAGAGCTGTTTCATGAGCCCCTCAGTGGCTAATTACAATGGGCCTCGGCTACTTATAGCCCACTCTGTGCCTTGTGCCATATGCTCAATCGGCTTTGGTGGGTCAGATCTGTCAGCAAAGTGGCATTAGTGTCATGGTCGATCTGTCAGGGACAGGGAGGTGAAGGGCCCGGCTCTGTAACATGGTGTGTGTGCGGGGGGGGGCGGTGCAGAAAGGGGGCAGCATCACGAGTCAATGGGTTTGGGGAGACCCACAGCTCGCTGATCCCCCCTTCCCGCAGACCTCTGGGTCAAAGTGTCCTGAGGAGCCAGGGATAGAACCCAGGCATCCTGGCTCCCAGCCCCCACACCCCCACTCTTACCACTAGATCCCAGCCCCCCTCCCAGAGCCAGGGATAGAACCCAGGCATCCTGGCTCCCAGCCCCTCCCTGCTCTAACCACTTCCCTCAAATCTGCCTCTGCAGGGTTCCTAGAGTCCTCTGACCCATCCAGTGCTGGCCACTGTGGATGCCGGGATACCAGGGTAGATGGGCCTCAGGTCTGACCCAGTCTGGCTGTTTCTGTCTTCCTGTAACCCAGGCCAGAGCTTTTCACGCAATGATGCCTGGTTCCAGCCCATATCTGATAGCTGAGCTGGAGAAACTTGCTTAGAACGACATCTAGTCCCGCTGTAAAGACGCCAGGTGATGGAAAATCCACCTGTCTCATGACGGAGGCCGCGGTGCATCATGGGAGATGGAGTCCAGCTGCGGGAACGGGGCCTATGGCAGGAATGGGGATGTTAGGGACACAGAACTACAACTCCTATGAGGCACAGCGACAGCCCACATTCCCACACCAGCCCCACGCCCTTCTCTAGTGTGGTGGCACATGCGTGGGGTGTGTGGGTTTGGGATAGGTGTGTGTGGTGGTGTAGGGGCTGGCGGCATGCGTGCAGCTGGGTTGCGTATGCTATCACAGTGTGTATTTGTGAGGCAGTGCTGTGTGTGTCCCTGCTGCCCCCTGCTGGAAGGGATATGCCCTACTGTGAGTGTGTGTGTGTGTGTATATATATAGTGAGTGGTGTCTGGGAATTCTGTGTGGAGGGATAAATTGTATGCGTGTACAGACATTGTGGAGGGGAGTTGGGTGTACGGCTGGTGGGCAGTTGTGTTTATAGGGAATTTGTGTGTATGTGCATACCCTGTGTGCTTGTAATGTGTGTGTCCTTGCCACCCCCTGCTGGAGGGGCTGGTCCCCGCTCTGTGTGTGTGTGTGTTTGTGTGTGTCTGTAACGGTGCGGGAGGGGGAGCCGGGAGTGCGCGACCCAGTCCCCATGTGGCGCTGACCGCCCGGCAGAGGAACTGGCTAATTGGCTCCTTATCATTTCATCTGCCGAGTCGAGACGCCACTTGCCAAGGGGCGGGGGTAGGGGCGGGTAGGGGGGCCAGGGGACTTGGCCAGGGCTATATTATAGAGGAAACAAAATTACAGCACTCCAGCCAGGCAGACAAGGGAGAGACGGAGAGACGGAGCCTGGGACGGGGACAGAGAGCAAGAGAAGAAAGAAGGAAAGAAAAAAAGAAAGAGAGCGCAAAGGGCTGGAGCTGGGGGCAGAGAGCAGGGCAGGGAGGACGGAGGGAACGTGAAAGAGGAAAAAGAAAAAGTGAAGAACCCAAGCGCTCAAAAGGCCGAGGCCCCGGGCAGCTGAGAGGTAAGGCGGGGACGGGACGTGCGACCCCTCTGCCCTGTGGGGGCCCGGGGCAGAGCCTGGCGGCGTTCGGGGTGAGCAGTGGGGGTCTAAATGCTGGAGGGTTACGGAGAAACAGGGGGCGGTGGGGCGATGCGCCCACTTGGGGAGCCCCCGCCTGGCACCTGGCCTGCGCCCCACAGCTGGGACGTCATGGTGCACCTGCCTCACATCTGCCACGGCCAGCACATCTGGAATGGCACCCCCACCCCCTCACCCTGCCCCCAGCTGGGACCCCCTGCACATCTGGAGTGCACCGCACAGCTGGCCTGCGGCCCCGGCCCCACCCTGGCCCCACAGCTGAAATGCAGCCCACCCACTTGCATGGCTCCCATCCAGATCGCCTGGCACATCTGCCGGGCTCCTCCCCCCATGCACGGCCTCTCCGTAACCCACCCGCACTCCGGCTCACATCCCTGCCCCCCAAGACGGGTGCCCCCCACTGCCCTGCCCGACCCAACGCTTCCCCTCGCGGCTTCTAGAGCTGGCTTTGCGGGACCCACTAGGCCCGGTTCCCCTGCCATCGCCCCCAGGAGCCTCACCACCCCAAGGTGGCTGGTGCCTGGATCAGAAACCTGACTGCCCCATCAGCTCTGCTATGCAAAGGGGCCGTGCTCTCTTTGCCAGGGGCCTTCTGACCCACACGTGCCTTCCTCCCACTCCCAGGACCCATAAGAGCCAGACTGGAGGGTGGCTGGGGCTCCTTGCGCTGTGGCTAATCCCTGCCCCCCAGGGCCCATAGGGCGCAGATCAGGGGTGTGGTCAGGGTGTCCTATGCCAGGGGCGTGTTGATTGTAGGGTCTTAAGGCAGGATTCTGGAATTAAAGGTACAGGCTCCCTTTTGTGCTATGCCACAGGGCCACGTTATGCTCCACTCAGGGGGATGTTTTTGTAGGGTCTTCGGAGCGAATGCGTTGTTTAAAGGCACAAGCCCCCTTTTGGTGCTGGGGGAGCAATGTTATTGTAAGGTCTTTGGACAGGCATCTGGGTCTGTAACTCAGTTCCCATAACCCCAACCCCCGTCTCCCCGCCCTTCTCTCTCCCCAGATAGGAGCCCGCTCCCCCCATCTGCCATGTCTGCCCCCCCGGCGCCATGCGACCGCGTGACAGTGAACATGGCCACGGAAGAGGTTCAGATCCAGCTGTGCCCGGACCCTCGGCTGGTGAGCACGGCCACGGGAGGTGTGGAAGGTGCCTGCCACCGCTGCCTCCTGCCCTTCAGCGTGGTGGCGACGCTGATCGGGGTGGCGGTGACGACCCTGGCCTACTCCCGGGACGCCCACGGCTCGGTGCTGTCGGTGCTGGGGCTGGCCCTGCTGGGCGCCGGGGTGCTGGGCCTGGCTGGGAGTTACCTGGCCTACTGCTGCCGGGGCCGCAAGATCAGGGGCTGGAGACGCGGCAGCTTCACCCTGCTGGTGGGGGACCCGCTGCAGAAGAAGATGGTGGTGTGAGAGTTCGATCCGGGCCAGTGTGGGGATCCAGTCCGGGTTCTGCCTCCATCCTGAGTCCGATCCGAGCCGGCATGAGGATCCAGGCCAGGTTCTGGAGCCACCCAGAGTCCCCTGGCTGAGCCATCCCACCTCCTGCTGCATGGGACCTGCCCTGTGTTGTGTGTCATTGCCCCTGTACCACGAGTCACGCGGGATTCGCCTTAAACCCAACACTCCCTCACCCGACTCCTCTGCATACAGACATCACAGCCTCCAGCCCTGCCTCAGACTCCGGTTGCAGACCTCTTGCTGCATGAACAACACACCCATGGGCCCATCTAGCATGGCATCCCACCTCCAGCAGCAACCAGCATCTGCTGCTGTGGAGGAAAGGCAGGAGACACCTGCCCCAATGGGCAGTAGTGGAATAATTCACCTGGACATCAAGCTCCTGCCCTTGCTGAGAATCCTGTGGCCAGGAGTTCCGCAGGCCGTGCAAAAAAAAATCTCGCCCTGATCCGGTCTCCGCCCTGCGGCCGGTGAGCGTGCTGGTGTTGTGATTTAAAGGGCCAGCACAGAGCTCAGAAAGTGGACGGGGGCGGGTCCAGGTGTGGGGGGTCTCTGTCCCCGCTCAGGGGCTGGGTTCATTATAACCATTTCTGAGCCGGGTAGCACTTTGGAGCTGGGTAGATCAGCTGCTGCGGCCCGGTCTGGGGCGGGTGTGGGGGCTGGTTGTTCGGGGAGCCCCCCTACTGAGTCGCACTCCCTGAGCGCAGCGCCCCCTAGGGCCGCTCTAGGGCACCAGGGCCCTGTGTCGTGCCAGGCTGGGCGGGAGCCGCCCGCCCAATTGCTGCCATCTCAGTGTCCCAAGTGTAAACAGCCAGCGCTTATCAGCCCCGGGCTGGGCTCCGGCCGGGTCGGCGCATTGTTCGCGGCCTTGGGCCCAAGACGTGCCCGGCGCCCCCCAGCTTATCTGCATCCCGCATGGGGGCTGGGGGGGGGAGGGAGGGAGCTGAGGTTAGAGGAAGCATGTGGGGGAAGGGGGGGGCAGCGCCCTGGAGAATGGATCTCTCCCCACTGCAAACATAACCCCCCCGCCCTGCCCTGCCCCACAGCCCCCCTCTCTTCCCAAAGATCCCCTGCCCTCCACAGCACCCCCTGCCCTCCCCTCCCCCACGGCCCCCCCTGCCGTTACTGTACAGCTGTCCCTGCCCCCCACACAGTCCCCCTGCCCCCTTCCCTCCCACCACAGCCTTCACCCCACCCCCCCATCAATCTATCTGTCCCCTCACCTGCTAGCCCAGCCAGAGGGATCTGCCCAGCAGTGGGTAATCGGGGTGCAGTGATGGAGGGAGATAGGGGCACCCCCCTCACACTTTCTCTCTTCCCCATACATTCACCCCCCCCACTCCTAGGCTGAGATTCCCCCCAGTTGCCCCCTCCCCCCATCAGCGCTGGCCGGGCACCAGGTACCTACTGCCTGGCACAGCTGGGGTCTGGCCAACATCCCGGTGACCCCTCCATGACCTACGGCCTGACCCCACTGACGCCCCCACCCCGGCCCCACAGGTCTTGAGCCCCAGTGAGGGATGCTGTGTCCGCTGCCCAGCCGCAGCCCTGAGACATGGGGCCTTTCCCCTCTAGGGGGCACCGGCCCTGGGATGGGGACTGGCTGGCTCAGGGGGGTGGGGAATGGGGCTCGGGCCTTTCCCCTCTAGGGGGCGTCGGTTCCCATCCGGCCCCAGGGCAGCACAGACGGCAAGTGAATCCTGGCTGGTTCACCCCCCACCTCATGTGTGAAACAAGTTTGCTGGGTCTCAGTTAAATGCCCAGGTGCCTCCATCACACATCCCCCCCGCCCAGTCCCCTAGAGGAGGGTCTCTGAGGAGATGGGGGGGCATTGAGGGGGTGGAGAAGTGCTGGGGCCTCCTGCTGGGGATGCACCCTGGAGTCAGGCATCAGAGCCCACCCACTCCCCCCAGCAAGATGAGTGTGAATTACCACCCATCCAGCCCACCTTCATGGGGCAGAGCCATGGGCAGGGGGCAGCAGCCCAGCCAGCAGGGGGAGGGGGCAGGTGACACACAAAAACACAAATTCCCAGCAGGGCAAAGCCCCTCTGCTCCCCTGCCCCGATCCAGCAGAACCCAGGAGTCCGGGAGCCTCTGGCTCCGGCAGAGCAGGGGTTAACACCTTGGCTGCCTCTCTCCCAGGACTGGGGGTGGGGAAGGGGGGGGGTCCATGGGCCTTCCAGCCTGTGGCTCCAGCCCTGTTTACAAAGGACCTTTCCTGTTCCCAGGGTCCCTGCCCTCCCGCCCTGGCACTCACTCACCCACCCCGCCCCCGCAGAGCTGGGGGGGGGGAACCGGGGCTGGGCTAGCAGGGGGCTGCGGGTCAGGAGTGAGGGGGCACCAGCAGATCGGGGGGGGGGTAACCCAGGGCCCCTCACTCCCGACCTGTAGACCGCTGCTAGCCCACCCCTGGGCTCCCCCCAGCCCCCTGCCAGTGACCCTCACTCCCGACCCACAGCCCCCTGCTAGCCCAGGCCTGGTCTCCCCCCAGCCCTGCCGGTGCCCCACACTCCTGACCTGCAGGCCCGCTAGCTCTGCCCTGATGCCACCTGCTGGCTGGTAGCAACTGGGGACTCCCCCAGGACGCATTTGAGCAGCTGCAGTTCAGGGGCCCTCTCCTGGGCACGCAGGGCAGGGGTGTGTCTTGCCCGTGCAGGGCCTGGGGTGGGTCAGGAGGTTTGGGGGCATTGGCCTCAGGGGACTGAAAGACCAGCAGCAGCCAACACCTCAGCCCCACAGCAACACTGAGCGGAAGTAAATCACAGGGGTGGGGTGACCAGACGTCCCAATTTTAGGGTCTTTTTCTTATATAGGCTCCTATTACCCCCACCCCGATTTTCCACACTCGCTGCCTGGTCACCCTACGCAGGGGCCAAGGACTATCACGTGCAGGGGGTGCAGGTCGGCAGGGAGGGGCACCGGCAGAGCTGGAGGGGGTCAGGGCTGAGCTAGCAGGGGGCTGCAGGTCAGGGTTGAGGGGTACAGCCAGAGCTAAGGGGGAGACCCATGGCAGGAGAGCAGGGTGAGGATCCAGGGGAACCAGCACCGCTGTGCCTGGAGCTTTCTGTTCTAGTTTAAGGGTCTGCAACCAGCCCCCACAGCTGGCAGTGGGGTGAGGTGACCCATTGCTGCCATTGGGAGCAGCCTGTTTTGTCTCCAGCTGGTTTCAAGGCCTGCCTTACGCTTCTGGATTCAAAGCAGTTAAGTCCTGCGCCGTTGCCCCATCCACGCCAGGGCAGGAGATACGTGCAAGCAACAGCTCAGCGTGGCCCTTGTACCAGGCAGGGGGAAGGGAATTGCTGGGGCAGCGAAGCTGAGCCCCATCCTCTGCCAAGGCCCAGACAGGCCCATTCCTCCCACTGCTCTGACTCAGAGCTAAAGGAGAGGGGTTTATCTGACTTCATTGCCAATGGGAATTAAACTAAACCAAAGTCAGGTCACTGGAGTTCAGCATAAACATCCACAAAGAGGTTTAATGAACCCACATCTTTAATTTAGATTAGTTTGCCTGGGTGTCCTGTGTAGACAGCCCCACCTACCCCCCCTCCCCACCCCGGCCTCCCCTGTAGACATGCTCAGTGGGAGCTGGCTGGAGGAAGTTGGTGCTGGGGGTTTAGGGGTCGATATTTTGGGTGTTTGGAAAAACCAGACCCCAGCCCCACTGTGTAACAGCTAAAGCGAGCAGGATTGCACCCACACACCTACCTCCATCAGCCCTGTCTGCATGCAAGCGGCAAGGCCCTCAGCCTCTGAGGCTGGAAGGGAATCAGCCCACAGCTCTGGGAGGGGAGTGGGATCTAGTGGTTAGAGCAGGGGGCAGGGAGCCAGGACTGCTATGTTGGGTCAGCTGGATTCAGAACTTTCTCTGAACACAGAGGGCGGTTCTGCCCCCTGGTGGCTGGATTCACACCTATGCTGGCACCTCCCTGTAACAGGTCTCAACCCAGGCACTGCGGTCGTCTGGGGAGGAAGGGGGGTGCCAAGTATCAAGGATGCCCCACGGTTGAGGGAATAAATTAACCCTTCAGTAGAAAAAAGTCCTTTAATAGAGTTTTTTTTTTATAACTTAAATAACTTAGATTGAAAAAAGGGTAAAATACCAAAGCGTCTTAACAAAAAGCTGGGAAAAGAAGGGACAGTTTTATTAGAACCCTGCCTGGATCTCCCCAACCCCCCCATGCCCCCCACTAGTCCATGGTTCGTGCCAGGCACCGTGCACCCCTAGAGCCGCCGGAGTGCCCGCTTTTTGTCCGTCTTCTTCTTTGCCAGCTGTTTCTTGTCCCTGTCGCCGGCATGTTTCTTGGCCATGGGGCCCTCGCCCCCGGGGGCCAGGGCGGCTGCAGAGGAGGAGCAGGGGTCAGAGGGATCCTTGCTGGCCCCCCGCAGGCTGGAGGGCTGGGCATGGATCTCCGTCAGCAGGCGGGCCCGAGCAGCGTACTCCTCATAGTTCTCCAGGAGGAGGCGCCCCGCTTCCTCGTTCAGGGCCGACTCGGGGTTGGGGTGGATCAGCAAGCACTTGATGGTCTGCGGGGGACAGAGAGGGGACGGGGTTAACCCGAGCGGGGGCTCCCCACCGCTTCATTCCTGAAGGAAGGCAACAAGCCAAGGTGCCATGGGGCTCCCTCCAGTCTGGCCCCTTCCACTGACAGCTGCAGCTGGCAGCTCAGGAGGCCCAGCTTGTCCTTCTTATTACAAGGCTGGTGCCCCCTGGGCACCCAGCACAGCCAGACAAGTACCAAACCTCCCCCCTGCCACTGGATCTAGTCTTTCCAGGTGCCTAGAGATCTGGGGCACCCCAAAAACCAGGCTCCGCTGAGGCACCCCAAGAATCAACGCAGGCAAAAATCAACATGGCAATTTCTCATCGGTTGCCGCTGACCTTCAGTTTTGGTCCTGGTTAAGGGTCCCAGCTGCTGGCTAGAGACCCAATTTCTGTGGGGAGCGCTGGGGGGCAGAAGCTGGGGAAGGAACGCGCAGTTGACAGGATCCGGCCTCGGCCCAGGCTTCCGAGAGAGAAGGCAAATCCAGTGGGTGCAGCTTTAGGCAAGCCTGCTTGGCCTTCCCTCTCTAGGGCGCCCCCCCAGGAAAGGGGATGCCAAAAGCCACAGGAACACCAGAGACGCACGGCTCCCAAGGGACTCTGCTGCCCCTGTTGATTGTGCAGGGGAGGTGCCCAGACAGGCAGGTGAGGGCCAGCAGGTTGAAGCTGGCAGCCAGCCCAGTCTGGGCAGCTCTACCTGTCAGGCCAGGCCCTGCTGTGCTAGGGGCTGTACATGTGCACACTCCCCACCCCACGGAGAGGATGATACAGGCCAAAAAGGGTCTGTCCTTTGGTACTTCCAAAGGGCCACACCACTGCATCCTTGTCCCTCTCAATCCCCTGGGGGCCACCTGCCCAGCCCCCTCTATTCCTGGGACACCTGGTGAACCATCCCCCATCCCCTCCCTGTGTGCCCACCATTCCCTTCCTCCCACCACACCACAGCCCCCCATCCCCCCATTTCCCTCCTCCCACCACACCAGGGCCCCCATCCTCCCAGCAGTGCCCCCCCCATTTCCCTCCTCCCACCACAGTCCCCCAGCCCCTCCCAAGCCAGGGCCTATGTGCCCTCCATCCCCTTTCCACCATACCAGGGCCATTCAGCGCCCCACAACAGGTGGACTCCTGCCCTTCCTTCAGGAAGCAGGGGCAGCGAACGACCGGCCCCTCGCAGCAGCCTCCAGACCAGATGTGCAGGGCACAGCCTCAAGCTGCTGGCGGCCGTGGGACCAGCGGGGGGGGGGGGGAGCCTGGGGCAAGGGGCCCTGAGCTCATCTGCTGATGGGCCAGACACCTGGCATTGCTGCAGCACCGGTCACC